GGCTCCTTCAGAACACTTCAGTCAGTTTTGGCTGCAAAAGAAAACATCATTTCCAGGGGCTGGGGATGTGGCTCAAGCGGTAGTGTGCTCACCTGGCATGCACGGGGCGCTGGGTTCGATCCTCAGCACCACATAAAAATAAAATAATGATCTTGTGTTCATCAAGAACTAAAAAAATGAATATTAAAAAAAAGAAAACATCTTTTCCAGCACCCTAACTCTCAAAGACACTGGTCCAGATGGCCACAAAGGTAGAGCTTCTTCTCCTCACTCTGTCTGCTGCATGATGCTAGAAGATCTAGCACCCAGTCCTCCCACAACCTCTGACTTCCAAAGTCCATGGCAGCCTGAGACCAGGACCCTGCCTTCAGCAGTTATTTATGGGTGACCAGGACTTGTGGGCCCCTTACCTTAAGCCTCAGCACCAGGCTCAAGGCTCCCTCTTGTCCTCAGCTGGGCCCTTCATCCTCCATGGCAATGACCCCACAGACTCCTAATTCAAGCTCTTGTTCTCTCCATTTCCAACATTACAGGGCTGTCCTGTTATTCTATTACTGGTCCATCTCCAAGCTCCCAAACCCTCAGTCTTTTGCCCCTGTCAATTTACCTGATCCAGCACCCTGACAATTGTGTGCTGTGAATTAGAGTTCCAATTACTTTATTTCCTCTTCAGCCCATCTCAGAAACCTTCCAGGACTCGCCACTGGCCATGAAGTAGGGGCATGCTCATCCGCTGGCTTCCAGGCTGCACCCAGTGAGGGCCTGGCCACCTCTCCAGGCCCTTCTCTCCAGGTAGGCTGCAGCATGCAGTGTCCCACTCACATTCCAGGCTTTCCACCTCCTGGCCTGTGTACCTTCTGTTCCCCTCATCTGGGAGGGGCCCCCTCACATTCCCTGACAACCTCCTGTCAATCTTCCTCCTACACTTAAGCCTCTCCTGATTCCAGTGATCAGACCTCCTCCCCCCTGCTTTGAACCCCTTAGAACTTTGCACGTCTTCCGGCCCTGTCTTCCTCGAGAGTTATCACACCAGTGCAAGGGAGGCCCTTCTCGTTCACCTTCCGAATTAATACCTTCATGGTTGGTTCACAAATCTCAAGGTCATGCACTCTGATCTGAGTTCAGCTAGTTTTGCTGTTGGCTGCTTTAGGGCAGCTGGGAACAATCCTAACAATGGTCACAAAGGAAGTGCATCAGCACAACACCAAAAAACAGCATAAGTCAATGCACTGATTTGTACATGCGTGGAATTTTTGTAATTAAACAAATGTATCAAAAATATAGCTGCCCTGACGCAGGCGAGGGGCCGCCCGGCTCCCGCAGGCTCCGCTCAGCTCCCGGTCCTCGCGGCGCGCATGCGGGGGCCACCCGGCGTTCCTGCTCTTTGCCTGGTTTGCGAGGATTAAGCGTTAAGTACCACGTGGTATCGAACCCGGTGCCTCATCCGTGCTAGAATTAGCCACCTGGAACTATGAGTGAATGGATGAAGAAAAGCCCCTTAGAATGGCAAGACTACGTTTACAAAGAAGTCAGAGTGATAGCCAGTGAGAAGAAGGAGTATAAAGGATGGCTTTTAACTACAGATCCAGTCTCTGCCAAGACACCTTACCCACTGAGTTACATCCCTAGCCCCCTGCCCCCCCCCTTATTTGGAGACAGTCTCAGTAAGTTGCCAAGGCTAACCTTAAACTTGTGATCCTCCTGCCTCAGGCTTCCACTCCACTGGGATTACAGGTGTGCACCACTGTGCTTGGCGTAACTTTTTAAAAGAAATTGGTATTGGAGATCAAACCCAGGGCCTCATGCGTGCTGAATGTGCACTTTGCCACTGAGCTATACCCCGCAAGCCAATGAACTCTTAGGAAATACATTAATTGTATCCCACAGTGATTAACCAATATGTCAGGGAAGATGTTTAGGATCCTCAGGGAATGCTTGTCAATCAAGTGAAAGCATCTGGTGGTGAGAAGATTAATATTAAATAGGGAAGGTTGTTCCCTCCATTCTAGTGACCTATTTGGGTTGAGGATGCCTCTCATTGCATTGCTTCTTTTGTAGTTTCATGGGCCTTTAGATTTTTCTTTTGCAAATCTGCTCTGCACTGATTTTTCTTTCAAAGTATTGTCCTCGTGAATTTCCTTGAAGATGGCAGCTTGTCTGTGACTGGAATTATGGGACATTCTGTGCAAACTGTTGAAATTGTGAATGAAGGGGACCATGGAGTAAGAGAGAAACTGATGCATTTGTTCATGTCTGGAGACTGCAAAGCTTACAGCCCTGAAGATCTGGAAGAGAGAAAGAATAGCCTAAAGAAGTGGCTTGAGAAGAATCACATCCCCATCACTGAACAGGGAGATTCACGAAGGACTCTCTGTGTGGCTGGGGTCTTGACTATAGATCCACCATATGGTCCAGAAAATCGTAGCAGCTCTAATGAGATTATTCTGTCCGGGGTTCAGGATCTTATTCAAGGACATCTTGTAGCTTCCCAGTGAGAGATCAAGAACTGTGGATACACTAATTGAAACCGACTTTATTTTTTTGTTCTGTCATGGTATGTTTTGAATTTAAGTCCATCATATTGTGGGACTTCAAAAAAAAATATATAGCTGCCCTTCAACCTTACAGGTTATCTAATGTAACTCATAAAAATGTATAGGAGAAAGTACTGTCTTATTTTATCAGCCAGATGACTAAAATTATAATAGGCTGAGCAAGGCTACCCAAAAGGAAGTGTCAAAATTGAGATATGAACTTGGGTATGACTCCAGTGACCAGTGCTCTTCTAGGTAGTCCCCACCTGGACACCTGTGTCTCATATACTCAGAAGCCATGCTCACTTCCGCATCAGTGAGGTCACAGGTACAAGCAGACCTCACAGCTAGCCAACCTCGCAGCGTATTTATTCTCTTTGTGTATTTCTAAAAAAAAAAAAAATTCAAATGTATGTGTCAAAATGAAGTGAAAAAAGGATTTCTTATTTGTTAGAAAGGACTTAGAAATTAGGTCATTATCCCTTCCTCAGTTTATCCTTCCAGTCAATGACCTGCACTGGGTAAGCATGGCTCAGAGGTGGCTTTCCATTTTCAAATATGATTCTCTGTCCAACCCTAGTTCTTTGCGTATGATTATTCTGATGTAGACTCTGTAGCCAGCTTATTTTTGTTTTTAGCTATTAATGTTTACTCACCCTGGACCGATTGATCTTTCCCAGAATGACAGCAGCCAAGAGAGGTGCAAAATCATAATGAACCAGAGGAAAGAATGCCAGATTGAGGGGGAGAGGGGCAGAAAAACTGGCCCCAGACCTGCCTTTGATTAACCATTGTGCAATCTGAAGCAAATTAATCCCCTTACCAAGCCTGTTTCCATATCTGTAAAAGTGAGTTTGCTCTGGATTTGGGGCTGTCTTTTGGTCTGGCTTGCTGGCAGACACTAGCCTTTTATGGTTTATTTAGGGTAAAGGTTAAAGAGCCCAGTCGGCCTTGTTAGCATAACAATTCTAGAATCCTTAGATGGGAAGGAACTCCAGAATGCAAAGCTTTCACTCTTTCCCTCTGCTCCTTCCTCAGCCAGAAATATACAATTTGCTCTTCTTTTTCTTTCTTAGTTCTTCTGGGGTGACCTACTTTCTTTCTTTTTAACTTTTAAAAATAAATACGTCTCTCTCCCTACTGAGAGTAGGAGTAACACATTTGTAAATCTAAGTGTTGGAAAATACAAAAAGTTTAAAAAATAAAATAAAATCATTCATGATACCACCTGGAGATTAATAATGCCAGGGACATTTTGGTATCTAGACATTTTCTAGGTGCAGCTTTTTCCCCACAGTCGAAACCATGTTCCATAAATAGTGTTACAATCTGGTGGGTTTAGGTTTTCACATATTATAAGAAGATATTTACTGCTGTCCGTGAAACACACCCTGAGCTCACATTCATTGGTGGATTCTTCCTGATTTCCCAGTTTCCAGTGAGTAGGCCATGGGCTATTTCTGTAGTTCGCTGGAAGTACACTTGTCACACGTGCCTTAGGTTAGAACTTCCTTCTCTTATAGTTTAATGAACCATTCCAACAGATAGAATTTAGCTCAGGGAGTAATTCCTCGTGCTTTGGGAAGCTTTCAATATAATGGGCAATTCTGGCGCTTTTAGCAAGGCTTAATTACTTAGGATTTAGAGCGACAATAGGTCCACTTTAACACCCTAGAATTTTAGAGCCAGGTAATTGTTTTAACCTTTCAAGGGCTTCGCCCTAAAGCAATCAGAAACCAGGGCTGCAAATCCATTACCAAAAAAAAAAAAAAAAAAAAAAAAAAGCACTCCTCGGCAGGGCGTCCTGCTCCCGACCTAGGGAGGGCAGCGGCGCAGGGTCCCCTTACCTGGGCAGCGCCAGGGCCTCCTCGGCGCGGCCGAGGGCGCTGATGGCCGAGGGCAGCGCCAACACTCCATCAAGGTCGAACACGACCGCACGCAGCGCCATGGCGGCCTGGGGCCTGGGCACAGAGACACAAAGCGCGAAGGCCTGGACACGGGACCGGAGCCACCCGCGACCCGACCTCCCAGCTCCAACCCGGTGTCCAGCCCGACCCGCCCAGCCTCTACCACGCCCACGCCACGCCCCTGTCCCCGCCCCCTGAGCCGGCCCCGCCCAGGTTGCATCTGAGTGGGACTCTGCTGAGGCTCTGCCTCCATTGCTTCCCAACTCCTGACCCTTGACCCAAAATCCTGCCTCTGGAGATTCCGCCTAAATGCAAGCTCTCCTCCCCTCCCCTCCCCATGTTGACAGCGAACCTTCCAGACTTCTACCATTTTCAGGCAGTGCTAGGAGGAGACTCACCTGAGAAGGAGTTGGGGACATGGGGAGAGGGTACAGTCCCTTGGGGGAGATGGAAAGGTGTGTGTGTGTGTGTGTGTGTGTGTGTGTGTGTGTGTGTGTGTGTGTGTGTACACACATGTCCAAACACTTTCACATTCGATATTTGGATCCTGACTAGCTATCTAGTAAAGGTCTGACTTTTGCTGAAGTCTTTTCTAGATCTGGTAGGTATGCTTCCAGACACCTCACTATCCTGACTACCACTGGTCGCAGGCTCTTCTCATGTGTTTCTAGAATAAAAGGTATTGCTCTAGTCATGTCAGCCGGGCTACTTCAGCGCCAGTCTCTTGAGATATAGAAGACATAAATTTGATCCATTTCCCGTTTGCACGTTCTGCTTGAAATTATCCTCCCTAAGAAATGGGCAAGCCAATTTCCACACGGTTGGCTGGTTTATGTTTCACTAAAACTTCATGGGTAGGGCGTCCACCCTTGTGTCGGGGTTGTTGGAGCTCTCCTGTGTAATGCAGCTCTGCAAATGAAAATGGGCTTGGTGTTCTCTCCTCACTTTCAGGGACTGAGGACACACATGATAGAGACCTCACTTTCAAATGTGTCATCTGAATTGATCAAAGACACTTTCCACCATGTAGTCACGAGACTGTTGTGAGAGACTGTCAGAGGCCTTACTGAAGAGTTCTAGAGCAGTCTTGGGGTCTGGCAACCACCAATCAGATTAACAAGAGAAATGGGCTTACTTTGGGTTGGTTGGTACTTAGCTGTGTGAATGTTTCCTTCTCCTGCTTCATAACCTCTTCTGGAATCCTACCTGGGACAGTTATTGGGGTTTTCTGAGACTCACATCTAAGGGCAAAGTTATGAACAATGTCAATTATTGCAACAAGAACTGAAAAAAAGAGACTTTGATTTTGGATGTGGATGATGCTGAGTGATATGTTTCAGAGCATTGTCAGTGGAGTTTGGGAGGTAAGAGGTGGATTAACCTGGGCTTAAAGTCTGAAAGAGAGGTAAAGAAGGGAATACGGTAATTTCTCTAGAAGTTGGTCATCTCAAAGGTCAATTGAGTTTTCTAAGAAGAGAAAGCAAATTGCAGCCTGACCCATAGAGTATGCAACCTCTTAAATTCAAATCTCAAACTTAAGACTTTCCTCTGGGCTCCAGATTTGCACATCCAACTTCGTATTTAACACCTCCTGAATGTCTAATAGGTATCTGCAGTGCACCTTGACTGCAGCAGAACTCTTGATCCTTTCCCTCCTCCCTCACCTGCTCCTCCCAGGAGAGCTCACACCTTGCTAAGTGGCACCCTGCTTACTCAATTGCTAGGAAACTTGGAATTCTTCCTGACACCCTCCTCTGGCCTTGTGTTCTTTAATTCTTTTCCAGTGGGGCAAAGGTAGTAGCTTCTAGTTGGGAGGTGTTCTCTTAAAGGCCCAGCTTGGAGCTGACTTCTACATTTCTTTCAAAGACTTTGTGGGACTTTCTACCCTGTTCAACTCTTTCCTTCTCTCTCTGTTTGGAATAGCTGCAGTGATTCCTGTTGCCTGTATCTGAACTCTGACTGGTAGAGTATTATTTGTGAATACCTGAATTTGTCTGTAAAAGTAGCAAAGTGAAGATGAAAAACAAGACTACAGAACTGGACTTCATAAATCCCCCTTTTGAGAAGAAAAAATAAGAAACTCTACTTTCAAAGGCGAATTGTCTTTGGTTGAGAGAAAGCTGTGGTGCTCTCACATGGACCTTCTGTTTATTCAGGAGCAGTTAACTAGCTGCTCTGGTCTGGAATGTTTTACAGTGCCTTGTGAGTTGCAGGAGTGAATTGCTCAGGCATAGATTAAAGGTCTCCTTGTGCTTCACTGTGCTCTGTCCTTTTGAGTTCTGCTGCCCAAGGTTCTGGAGATAAGGGCTCACTCAGATGGGGTATGGAAGCTGGATATCTTTTTGAAAAGCAAATCCTAACTATGATTTCTGGTAATCAAATTTTATGAAATGTGTTTTAGTGACAGTATGAAATCGTAAAACATGGCTAATTGTGAAAATCATAGATGACACCTGGTGTCAATCACTAAACTCTCCAAGAACTTATATGGAACTCAACATGTTTCCTTGAGCTCCTTACTTTTTGTTGGGGATTTCCTTTGGTGGTTCAGACATTTTGAGTCTGCCTCAAGCACAGCATTTCCCGGGCTCCCCCCGATGCTGGTCATATGACATGGGCTCTGCCAGTTGGGTGTGCTGGCCTGAGATTTGGGCATGGGAAGGGGCAAGCAGAGGTGCAGCTGTGGGGCTGGAACTAGCACCTAGCTTTTCTAGGGAGGCTGAGATGGAGCTTCAGTCTGGTCCTGAGTGGACTCGGTGTCCAGCAGGTGTCAGAGGGAAGGCTTTGTTAAAATGACACCATGGCATACTCTGTTTTCATTATGTCGTTCTTGGTTATAGAGTTTCCAAACCTGTGTCGTATCCACCTAAGGATCTGTGAGTTATTGGTGTCCTTAGTAATCCCATCTGCTTATGTGACTGGAATCAAGTTCTGAGTTGTAAAAGCCCCCATAAGACAGACCCACCCTAGATTCACACACGTGAATCCTGGAAGAAGAAAGAGCCCTCTGACATTAGAATTCAAAAACGTCATGTGCTTGTTTTTGCCTGCCTCAAATCTTAGCCCACAGCCTGTGAACTAGGTGCACCAAATCAGATGCACCAGCCCAGACTTGAAGAGTCTTGGACAGCAGGAGAAGAGTCTTGGACAGCAGTTTCAGGGACTGCAGCCACTGGCAGGCATGGCATAGCCCTGGCCCTCAGCAGTCAGCTGCTGCAGGGTGTCCTCACAGGCTTGATCCTGCATTATGATTTTGGTGGTGGCCTTACTTCCGCCTGGTTTTCAGATGTGGTTCTCCAACCTTCCAGAAGCCCTTGCTGATAGCCTGTCATCAGCCAGAGTAGGCACTTATGGCTACTCACCAGGTCCCAAAACATTTCTACTGTGCTTTCTGGAACCTTCTGGAACTCACCATGCCTTCTGGAACCTCAGGCTCGTCATCTTCACCTCAACCTCGTCTCTTCCTTTCTCATTCTCCCTGGCGTCTGGCCCTCCCAGGTGTCATCTCAGGGTTCTGCTGTTGTCTTCCCTCCTCCCCCTTACCACTGGGCAGGGGCTGTGCAGATGGCCTCGTTGCTGCTCCCAGGCCCTCCCTGAAGACCCACCACATCAGTGTTGTGGCACCGACTCTGCCACCCCCAGCCCACGAGTTCTGCTTCTCTTTTTCCAACGTGGCCTCTCTCCTAACCTCCCAGAAGACTAGGTTCCTTTCTGTCCTCAAATCTCCAGTACTCTCTCCCTCATCCTTACTCTGAGCCAGTGAGTGTTGCTTACTGTTTCATGGAGAAAACTGGAATGTTCTAGAAACTTCCACCAACATCCACCTACTTGCACCTTTGCCTATTTCCTTTGTCACCTTTCCTCCTCCCACAATGACCAGCCACCTCTAAGAGCTGCTCTTCTTTAAGGCTCTGTCTTCCACTGAGGCATGAGATTTGGTACTCTCATAGGCATGAGGACAATTCCCCACCTCCCACCCCCATCCGGTACCTCTGGTACGGGATCATTCTGTTTGTAAACTGATAGTCCGCCAGATGGAGGCTGCAACTGCGCCCTCCCCATGTCTGTGCCAGAAATTGCAAGGAAACTCTGTCTTCTTCTCTTGCAATGTCCCTCTGCTACTCTGAACTAAGAAAGTTTAACATTTTGCACACTTTGAAGGAGAAATGCTTAAAGAAATAGATTGAAGTTATATTCGGAGAGAAGGGGCGAAAAACTGATCACTGCCCAGGGCGCTAAAAATCCATGCTCAAATTTTGGTCCTGTGATTTGCCCGATTATCACTTCAGTGTAACACTCAGCATTGGCTAGGGAGAAATGAGGCTATAAGAACTGGCATTGTCTGTGATCAATGCCAGGAGCCTTCCTTGTCAATCAATGACAGTAGTTTCTTTCTCTGATTGATGAACTTCTTTTTGACTTCCTGAAAATCCTGTGACAACTTGCCAGAAGGATCTACTGTGACCAGGCAAGCCATATTTCTTCATGTCCCAACCCACTGGCCCTCCCTGTCCCTAGGCCTGAACTACAGCCAGATCCCCATAGGCCTCAGCAAGCAGTTACAGGGAAAACCCTGGCAGGAGATACAAAACATGCACCTAGTCCACAGCCTGGGGAGGGTATGTAGAAGTGGGTCCTTGAGGTTCCAAACCAAGGATAGGAAGTTGAAGTAGGCTTTGACTAACTGATAGGGGTATGTTTTCTAGTGATTTGGGGTTCGTCTACAACGTTGAACAGCTCACAGTTCACCCAATTCCAGAAATCAGTACAATGCAGTGGATTCTTGGGATGGTAACATTGGAATGGATTTTCTTCTGTACCACCTGCCTGCCTTCCTCCTAATACGAGAGGACTCATGGGATGCCTCCTTCCTGAGATGTGCCTTGGTGAGGGAAGGTCATCAGCTGGAAAGATAGGGGCAGAGGAGAAGTGACCTGGAACTTGGTTGGCAAGATTTCAGCTAAGGAAATGCTGTGGTTTGGGTAAGTGGCCCCTAAACACCCATGGGTAAGGCTCAGTCACCAGCCTGTGGTGCTTGGAG